CTGTGAGCGGCCGTCCAGAAGCCAGCGACTGATCTGCCTCGCCCGGGAAGAGCGCAATGATGGTGCCAACTTGGGCCAATGAAACATCCTCCACAAGTAGACTGAAGAACAAAAGGACAGCAACTTGTCTGTTCCCCTTCCCCCGATTCCCCAATAAAAAAAAATTTTTTTAATAAAAAAAAGTTATAAAGTCAAATGCATTTAACAAATATTAACAAAAAAAATGTAATCACACCAATAGTCACAGAGATTGAAAATAAAAAATATATGTGGTTACATTGTGATTATCTATGAAAATGCCCTTATTCCTTAGATATGCATAGGAACAAAATAGCATATCTGTAATTTACTCTAAAACAAAATTTAGCCAAAAAACAGATGAAGCAAATATGGCATAAAAGCTGTTAAATCCAAGTGTTGGGTATATGGGTTCATTGTATTATTATTATTTTTTTAAGATTGAAACTTTTCACAATAAAAAATTTGCAAAATCTAGGGCCAGCCGAGTGGCTCAGTTAGTTAAGAGCTCGCTCAAGAGTGCGAGTTCTGAGCAACAGGATGGCAGGTTTGATTCCCAGCCCAAGCTGAGCTGCCAACAGGTGGCAGGATGGCTCAGCTAAAAAAAAAAAAAAAAAAGTTTGCAAAGTCTAAATACAATGTGGTATCCTAGCCTGATTCCTGGAACAAAAGAAAAGTGCCTAAGTGGAAAAAGTGGTGAAATCTGTGAAAAATCTGAAATTTGTGACTAGTAACATACCACTGCTGTTCTTGTAGTTTTGACAAATGTACTTTGGTTATGAAATGTTAACAGGGGAATCTGGGTGACGTGTATATGGGAACTCTGAATTATCTCTGTAACTTCTCTGTAAATGTAAAATTATTCTAAAATAAGAAGGTTAATTTTTTTTTTAAGTTAGTATCTGAAACCACCGAAAAAAGTGGGGTGTAGGTGGCATAGTGAAGCACCCAAAACATACTTATAAAAGTCTTCATAGAATCGCCCCTTGTGATCCTGTCGAATTGAGGCTCGGTTTACTTCTGGAAATTCATCTGAAATAGAGAAAACAAGTATGTAGATTGAAAAGAGAAACTCACAGTTTCTCTGTTCCCTCTTCTGGGTTGAACATTTGCATCACAAAAAAATACATAAATAAAGATAATTATAAATCTACTAAGTTGGTTTTAAGATGAATCACAGCCCAGACTTCTTGCATACACTAATGGGCTGTGCTATTTTTTGTTGTACCCTTTCTTCATAACAGAAACGGTGAGAGAGAAAGAACAGTGCAAAGGGAAATGATAAGGAATTGATGGAGATAGGGGTGTGAGAAGCTTAACAAAAAATAACTAGAAGAAAAACTTACCAACAGATTTTGCATCATAGAAAGTTCTAGAAAATAGGACCACTGTTACTTCATGACTACAGTTCTTCTCCTAGGCATGAGTAGAGAAAAAAAGGGCTCAAGTTTATTCCATTTACTTCACCAGGAAGCAGCCCAACATGAACATAATATTCTCAATTCTAGGAGGCTTCATGGCCGTACAGTATTGAGTAACATCAGGTAATTGCAGGTCGCATAATGTAGTGGACACCGCACTGCTGGGAGTCAGACCTGGATTGAGTCCTGGTTCAAGGTCACTACATGACCTTGGACAATTTACCTAAAGTCCCAAGAATGGGGCAAGTAAAAACAGCAAATCACCAAAAGGTATAGGGCCGTCTCCTAGCTCTTGATTTGGCATGAAATAGATCAGCCCAGCGTAAGAGGATCATGGTATTTGTACCTGCTTCACAGTGTTTTAGAATTTCTTCAGAACTGTAGTTTAGGGAACAAGAACAGAACTTATGGTGGTAGATGTAACAATCAAAGACACTCCCACATCCTATCAATGTCACAGGATGAGGACTGGGGTCTGCTTGGGGTCAAAGCCAAGGCAATGAATTACCTTTGGACTGGGATGAGAACTAGTGGAAATAAACACTTCCATGGAGTCTGGAGATCAATGTTCTAGAAGATGTTTACAGATGGCATGCAGTTCGGCTTGCACCAGTGAGCCAGCAAGCTCTGTTTCAGTTCCTCCTGGGTCTTTGAGACAATAGCCTATACTGACCCAATCCATCTCTAACCCAATCATACTGACTACACAATTCAGCATTCACCAAATAAGCTATACAACATACTGCACATTGTATGACAGACACATTATAGTCTTCCATGGATAGACCTCAAGTGGACAGGAATTCCTAAATACAAGCCACAGTACCAAGAGCAGAGTGCTATGAGAAAGCAGGCCTTCATTAGTCACCTTCTAATTTACCTGACTCCTGGTACTCCAAACTCAGCATCTTAATCTAATTTGGGTATAAGTGATGTAGAGGAAAAATGTCTTCAATGGGCTGGTGTGGGCATATGAGCCTCTCAATTCATACGTGATGGAGGAGATAATAAACAACAGTGGTAATGTGGCCTGGGATTACAGAAACATAGACAGGTCAGCACAGGGGTTACGATCTCAGGCTAGCTCTGGATGAGTGGATGGAACAGTATTAGAATCCTCATTCTGCTTTTACAGGCTATTGATCATGGGTAAGTTACCTAACCTCTTAGAGCTGTACTTTCCCTACCTATGTGATAGGTAATTAAGACAAGAGAATTAAGTGAGATAATATAGGCAAAACACTTACCACATACCTGCTGTCAAAATACTCAATAAATGTTAACTAGGACTACTACTCCATCACCACTATATTTTGGGCTCAGAAACAAACTCATATATTCCCATGCTTAAGTTATTCAATAGGTTATGTAAATAAATAACTTTCACCAATTTTCATTAAATCAATAGAGTGTTTACAGAAAGGTATTTTAATTCATTTTCAAGTTCTTGCTTTACAACCAAGTTCATGATTTTAAAAAATAAACAAATCCTGGGCCAGCCGAGTGGCGCGTTGGGATGCCAGAGGGCCCCGGTTCGGATCCCACATATGAGGGCCAGTGACACTGTTCCCATCCCCCCAATTCCCTAATTAAAAAAAAATTATTATTATAGTCATCCTAGTGGATGTGAGGTGGTATTTCACAGTGGCATTAGTTTGCATATCCTTCACAACTAATGATCTTGAGTATCTTTTCATGTATTTGTTGGTCATCTGTTTATCTTCTTTGGAGAAATGTCTATTCAAGCCCTTTGCCTATTTTTTAATTAGATTGTTTGTCTTTTTGTTGTTGAGTTGTAAAAGTTCTTTATATATTCTGGACACTCGACTCTTACCAGAGATAATAGGCAAATATTTTCTCCCATTCTGTGTGCTGTCTTTTCACTTTTTTGATAGTGTCGTTTGATGCACAAAAGTTATTAATTTTAATGAAGTTCATTCAATTTATCTATTTTTCTTTGGTTACTCATTTTTGGTGTCCTATCTAAGAAACCCTTGCCAAATCCAATGTCATAAAGATTTCCCTTATGTTTTCAGAGTTTTATGGTTTTAGCTCTCATATATAGGTCTTGGATCCATTTTGAGTTAAATTTTTTTTGTTGTTTTTTTTTAGCTGAGCCATCCTGCCACCTGTTGACAGCTCAGCAGCAGCTCAGCTAGGGCCGGGAATTGAACCAGCAACGCTGTTGCTCAGAGCTCACACACTTGAGCGAGCTCTTAACCAACTGAGCCACTCAGTCAGCACTTTGAGTTAATTTTTTATATGCTGTGAGGTGAGGGTCCAAATTCATTCTTTTACATATGGATATTCAGTTATCTCAGAACCACTGTTGAAGAGCTTGTTCTTTTCCTCATCAAATGGACTTGACATTCTTATCTAAAATCAACTGGGCATAGATGTATGGGTTGATTTCTGTACTCTCAAATCTATTCCACTGATCTATTACATATCTATCTTTATTCCAGTACCACCGTTTTAACTACTTTGACTTTGTCGTAAGTTTTAAAATTAGGAAGTGACAGTCCTCCAACTTTGCTCATCTTTTTTCAAAACTGTTTTGGCTATTCATGATCCCTTGCAATTAATCCCATATAAATTTTAGAATCAGCTTTTCCATTTCTGCAACAACAAAATGCCATTGAGATTTTGATAGGAACTGTATTGAGCTGTTGTTTACTTTGGGTAATACTGCCTATTTAATAACATTAAGTCTTCCAATCTATGACCATGGATTATTTTTCATTTATTTAGGCCTTTGTCAATCTCTTCTAGCAAAGCTTTGGAGATTTAATGTACAGGTCTTATACCTCCTTAGGTAAATCATCCCAAGTATTTTATTCTCTCCGATGTTCTTATAAATGGAATTTTTTACTTCCCTTTTATAAAATTTAATTTCTTGTGTTTTGTTTTGTTTTTTAAATGTTTTGAACTTTTTTTCACCCTCCCCCACCTCTTCTTCCCCCCTCCTCATGTCCAAGTTAAACCGTTGTTCTCAGTCTAGTTGTGGAGGACGCAGATCTCTGGCCCACGTTGGTATTAGGAGCATCACGCTCTACGTGGCTCTTGCTCTAACCAACTGAGCTAACTGGCCACCCCTAATTTCTTGGTTTTTAATTTCCTGTTTGCTTGTTCATTGCTGATTCTGTATCCTGTGACTTTCCTGAATTCTTTTATTAGCTCTAATACAGGTTTATTTCTTTTTTTACAATATGGATGCCTTCTGTTTTTTTTCCTTGCCTGGTTAAAACTTCCAAATAACGGTGAATACTAGTGAAAGCAGCCATCCTTATCCTGTTCCTGATCTTAAGAGGGAAAGTTTTCAGTCTTTCACCATTGAGTATGTTAACTGTGGGTTTTTCATAAATGCCCTTTACCATGTTGAGGTGATTAAAGTAATTTAAATCTAGAGTCTTATCAATTTAGCCATTAGCTAAAATTTTAAACGCAGCTTAATAGAAACAGTGCATTTTCAAAAAAATCTGCATTGAATAATGTTTACTCAGTGAGATTTAGTGCATAAGAAGAAACGTACCTTCCACTTGGTAAAGAGATCAGCAAGGAAACCATTCACAGCTTTCTCAAAATACAGATCCCCTGGAAAAGAAACAACAAGGGGATGAGGATTGTCCTTATTTCTTGCTTACAATTTCTTCTCTCAGTATAGTCTGAGAAGGTGAGCTCTGCCATATCCTAAAACAAAATCATAAAAGCCAGATGTATAAAAGTGGTTTCAACTTAGATTTTCTATGGAGCAAAATTTATACTGACCTCACTCAGTAAGAGGCCATGGCTTCAAGGTAAAATCCAAGACTTCAAAAAGCTCTGGGGCCGGTTGAGTGGCTCAGTTGGTTAAGAGCTTGTTCAAGAGTGCAAGCTCTGAGCAACAGAGTCGCCGGTTTGATTCCCACATGGGCCAGTGAGCTGCACCCAAGCTGAGCTGCCAACAGGTGGCAGGATGGCTCAGCTAGTGAGAGCATCTGTTCCTAACAACAAGGTTGCCTGTCAAGATGGGGCTATACCTGCCCGCAACTAAAGACTGAACTCAGCACCTTGAGCTGAGTTGCCGCCTGGGTGGCTAAGGGGATAGAACACGCACTCTTAACAACGAGGCTGCTGGTTCGACTCCCGCATGGGATCGTGGCTACGCCCACTCCTAACTAATTGAACACAGCACCTTGAGCTGAGTGGCATGATTGGATTTGGTGCTGAGCTTGCTGTGCCCTTCACAACAAAGATGGAAGGACAGCAACTTGACTGTTCCCTTTCCCCAATTCCCCAACATTGTTCCCCTCCCTCAATTCCCCAATAAAATCTTCAAAAAAAAAAGCTTTGATGATTAAAAAATATGGTGTATCTTCAAAATGAGAGAACCATGTAACTTCTAAACATGATTGTTCTCAGTGATGCTTACAGCTTGTTAGAAGATGATCTGATAGACCCTGGGCATTCAGTAAATTACCATTTTCAGTTCCTGCCCTTTTTTTTTTTAAGGTTTTATTGGGGAATTGGGGGAGGGGAACAGACAAGTTGCTGTTCTTTTGTTCTTCAGTCTAGTTGTGGAGGACATCGCTTCACTGGCCCATGTTGNTGAGCCCTATTTCCCGCAGTACCTGATCCCACCCCTAGTCCTAGCCTTTTTGATTAAATGAGCCAATAAATTTATTTTGTATTTAAGCCAGTTTGGGTTAAATTTTCTATCATGTACAACTGAAAACAGCCTAAGGGATACAATAGAATTCGCATCAGGTCTAGAATCACTCCTAGCCACCAAAAAGCCTTAGTAATTTACAGGGATGGTAAAACTCCTGCCCTCAATCTTGTTCTGTTCTTGTTAGTTATAATTCTGAGTTTGACAAACATGTGTTTGCTTCATATAAGGGTTTAATAAGCCTCGTATCATTTCTCTTGCAGGCTGGGATCAGTTCTTATCAATGAACACTTTGTTAGTGAGAGGCAATCTCCTCAGGCTGTCTAACAGCTACTGTGCCCTACTTTTCTCTTCCTTGATAATGGAAATCTTTAATTCTGGGTGGCAAAGCCCCAGAAGATGAGTTATGATTTTTCTAACCCCTTCATAGTCATTGTATTACCCTTTACCAGGTAGAGTGGACCCTTGAATAATTCAGGGGGAGGGGTACCAACACCCTCAAAGTCGAAAATTTGCATATAACTTTTGATTCTACAGTTGGCCCTGCATATCTGAGGTTGGTTGAATCCATGGATGCGAAACCAGCAGATACAAAGAGCCAACTGTACTTATTGAAAAAGATCTGTGTGTAAATGGATCCATGCAGTTCAAACCCGTGTTGTTTAAGGGTCAACTGTACTTGCTTTCAAGCAGAGGCCTAGGCTAACATATATGTCTGTCTTAATTTTTAACAAAAAAGTTTAAAAGTAAAACAAAAATAGTTAAAAATAAAAAAATGCTTATAGAATAAGGATATAAAGAAAGAAAATATTTTTGTACAGTTATACAATGTATGTTTTCCCCCCCCTAAGATTTTGGGGAATTGGAAGAGGGAATAGCATTGAGGAATTGGGGAAGGAACAGACAAGTTGCTGTTCTTTTGTTCTTCAGTCTAGTTGTGGAGGACATCGCTTCACTGGCCCATGTTGGTATTGTGATCATTGTGCTCTTCCCGGCTAAGACAGATCGGTCGCCAGCCATTGGACGGCAGCTCATGCCGGCTGCTGGCTGCTCACGGTTGTTTACGCAGCCCATTGCAGCCTATGCCGTCGCCAGCGACTCCTGGCAGCCCAGCTCCAGGTTGAGTTGTTGTTCACCATCTTAGCTGTAGAAGGCGCAGCATCACTGGCCCATGTGGGAACCGAACCGGCGGCCCTGCTGCTCAGAGCTCGTGCTCCCAAGCCAACTCTTAACTAACGAGCCACTCGGCCGGCCCAGCTCCTGCTGTTTTTGATTGACCTTGATGACCCACAGTAAAAATTAATTTATAATTTTGATAAACACAAACTTGAATTGCATGCACCATGAGGCTGGTGTGCTGGACACAGTACCTACACCTCATAGCAGCATTATTGTTCTCTACTTGTTCTGTAATTCTAATAAAATGAGATAAACTTGGTGATTTTTGTGAGTGACAGGACAAGAAATGAAAGATATCAGAGAAAGTGTTGGTTCCTAGCCACAAAGTCACTCTATGACTTTTGATCCTTTAATTATAGAATAATTAAAGATTTGAGAATTCAGATTTTTCATTAATACTTCACTACATTTCATTGTAATTCACTATGTATATAAAATATATAAAGTATTTGTTTTAGCATTTGAGGATTCATAAAAATCTCAGAACATATCTTTAGAGAAATCAAGAGCTTACTGCAAATGACAACCTTGGAGAAATCAGAAACTTCTCCCCATTAGCAGTTATGACCAACACTTAGGAACAGTACCATAAATATCAAAATCCCACATTTCACAGCTCATCTGAATAAATATGTAAACCATAGCCGACGTAGAACGAAACACCACCTGAAATAAACAAAAACATAATTGCATTAACAAAGCAACACTATATAGTTTCAGTCTACAGGATAAAAAAGTTCTGGAGATTTGTTTCACAACAACGTAAATATACTTACTACTACTGAGCTGCACACTTAAAAATGGTTAAGATGGTAAATTTTATGTTTCTTACCACCACCACCACCAAAAAGAGCAATGATGGAATTGTGACATGGGACTTCTAAAAGCAAGCTTCATCCCTGGCATCATAGGCCATTAGAAGATCCTGTCCCTGTCTTCTAGGAGCTTATAGTAAAGAATAAAGATTGCAAAGCACTGCAACATATACAAACATTCCATGAAGCTTCTCATAAGAAACATTGGAGAAGAGGCAGCAAATCTATCTGGGAAGATCAAGGAAACCTCATTATGGAAGCAGAACTTGGGCTAAGACTGATGCCAGTTGGTGAGTTGCTGGGTCTAATAAATAATTCACATCGTACCCCAGCTCCAAACCCAGACTGCCTGCAGGAAAAATGTAAGTGTTTTCCTGGGCCTGTGTACTTTACCACAAAGCCCCTTACCCAGCCCTCCCCTCCTCCACAGGCTTTAAAGACGTTTGGTGGAAAAGCAAAATGTAAGTCTCTGACACCCATTCGTTCACTGGAGGCCTCACTCCTTAAAAGACGGAAGCACGTTCACCATGCACTTCCCAGGGCTTTCCATAGTCTCTGGGACATAACAGACAACACTCGATAAATTCGCTCTCCCTGTCTAACACACAGAAACACAAAAACTCAGAGAAAATATACCTTTCAAAATGCTAACTGTAATCATCTCTGGGCATTATGAGTGATTTTTCTCTTTTTATCTTTCTGTTTACCTTTTAAATTTCAAAATATTTCAGAGAAATAAACAGAAATATATACAGTCTAAATTTTTTATAATAAACATGCAATGTTCTTATAATTAAAGAAGTTATTGTTAAAAAGATAACTTTTCAGAGAAAAGTACTCTAGAGACAGAAGCTGGCTGATGGTTGCTTCTGTGTATCAGGGATACTGACAACAAAGGGGCATGAAGGAACTTTTTGGGACGATGGAAATATCCTATACTTGATTGTGGTATATACATTCGTTAAAATTCACACTATACATGTATAATGGATGTGTTTTATTAAGTTGATTTAAAAGATACTTTTCTAGGGCCGGCCGAGTGGCGCGATAGTTAAGAACTGACTTGGGACGCCAGAGGGCCCCGGTTCGGATTCCACATATGAGGGCCAGTGACACTGCCCTCCACAGCTAAGATGCTGAACAACAGCTCAACCTGGAGCTGGGCTGCTGTGAGGCGCCGGCGAGTAGGCTGC